CTGCTGTACTACAGCTTAAAAGGCATCCTGATGTACTGTTTACATAATGAACAATATCACAGGATGTTTTAAGAACAAAATCATTTACTGAAGGTGTGGACATATATATAAAGATGTGGAAGAGCTATTATGTCATAAATTTAAATTCTGAAGATCAGAGGCTCTACTGGCATATACCTCACACTACAGAGAACAGGCTCCAAGAGCAGAGGACTGCAGTAGTGCCAGCACAAGTGGAAGTGTTGCAAAGCCACCTACAATGCAATAGCCAGGAAGACTGTGTGATGTATCCTGCTTTCCTTTTTCCTAGCAGCCACAATGGTGATAACCCACATCCAACTGGAAACTTAGAAAAGGAACAAGTTAAGTTGAAGGAAAAAGAGCACGTTTGCTTATTTATATTGTTTATAGTCTAAGCAATCATTATAAACATGTGCTCAAATAATCTGCTCCTATGTAATTACTCATTTGCAGCCACAGTTATTAGGGAGGTAAATTCACTCTTTTTTGAAGATGAGGGTCAAATATTTATCTCTGAGATACGTTAAATGTAACACAAGATTGCATTAAGGGTATATATTAGACTGCAACATTAAGAAAATTGAGTGTTTAGACCTTTCAGACCTTTTTTAAAGCCTTGACCTTGGAAACAAATAAGGACAGTGTTATTTTAATGTGCATTCAAATTTTAACAACACAGTCACACAGCTCTAGTGGAATTCACATTGAGTTTCCACTGTAGATTGCTCATCATTTCATTATGGTTCATTATGCTGATAACTGTCAGAAAGCATTAGAAGCAGGAGCCTTGAGTAATAGCACTGAAATGGTAATTTAAAAACAATATACTTTCTGAAGGAAATACAGCAGTGCACTAAATTCAATTAGAAGAGGGGAATGTAAAGACAAGTAAGTGATGTTTGCTGTTTGAAGTCAGGCTGTTCAGTTTCTTGATAACCTAGAGTGGAGAAAGTCCTTTTAAAGCAGGCACTCTTCTCTTGCATCTCACTACATCTGCTCGTATTATCTCCAAGCTTCTCCAGTATTAACCGTCTTAAATGCAACCGTTTTTGAAATATTTTAGGTCATGACAAAATATCAATCAATCCACCAGTCCCTCTTTGGGTGACACAACTGACTAAATTATTCAGGGTCATTTACTGAGTCAGATTTCAAGCTGGACAGTCCATGATGGTAATCTCTCTTTTGTGAAGGGCTCCCAATTAAAAGTCATTAATAATTTGAATTGAACAGACAATATAAACAATACAAAACCATCCCATTCTCACTCATAATGTGAGCATTGTTTGTTAAGAGTTAGAAAACCCAACTCATTAATGGTGGGGACGCAGGAGCAACGCCCTTTAATTTGGGTGGAAACTGCACCTGCCTGCACCAGACTGAAATTCACAGGATATCTCCTTACAGAGATGGGAATTCAGGGGCAAGGGACATGATTGAGACTGATTTGTTTTCCTGCCTCATGGATTAATGTGTGGGTAAGGCAATTTATTCTCCATTACATTGCTAACCTTATGAAAGACCCTTCCTCTCTTCAAGTACTGAAATATAATGAAGGTCTGTAGAGTTGCTTTAACATTACTTTTGCAATGCTTCCAAAAGGGAAAGGCATCCGTGTTTTCCATGGCTTGGGCTCAGGTGTACTACAAGTCAATTATGCCATCTCCATACCCAAGCACACAGCTGACAAGCCCACTGTGCTACAGAGCTCAAAGTCTGAATTCCCAAGTTTGGCCAAAGTGGCTCTGCCCTCTGTGGTGACAGACACACTGATGATTATCCCCAGGAGGCAAATTTGAGGGGAAAGATGCACCAGCAAACACGTGGCTGTCAAGGTCTCTGCCTGGCCTTTGACACAGCCCACTCCACTGTCTCTAAACCCACCCTGCCACATTCTGCCCTTACTTGCACGAACTTTATACTACACGTAGTTACTCACTCTGGCAGAGCTGAAATAGAGCAGAATACTAAAACCAGAGTTTGAGGAACTTGTTTAGGAGCCTGGTGCCTGGCTTACCTCAACAAGGGATGGCAATGTCACAGAGTAGTGTTATGGAAGGGTGAAACTCTGGAGCACCTCTCCTGACCAGCACACCAGGAAGTAGCTATTGCTTTTGTTACTTATCATGGGAATTGCAACAAAGGAAAAGAAAGGGGAATTCTCTAATTCCCTTTCATCCACTAGCACAATCAGGCTAATGGAAAGTCCTAACAGTCTTCCTCCCCCAACCCAGAAGGCAAGATAAGTGACAAGGCCAGCCAGTTTACTACTAAAGGAAATCAATAGCCAAGGGTCAAAGCTTTACAAAAACACATCTTAAGAAGGCTGAAGTTCTTCATCGTAAAAAGTGTTTAGGAATAATAAAGAAGGGATCAATCCACAGTCCATTCCAGGTGTTCTTTCCAAATTATCCAATGTTACTTTTATTCACCTGGTCTAATAGTTCTCCAAGTGAACAGAAACCTGATTTTACAAGCCAGTGGAGCAGAGTCTATCATTTTGCTAGAAGAATGGATCCCAGATACTGTGTTTTATTTCTTCATTAGTGTGCCGTCACACTGAGCGATTACTAAATGCAGGCCTGAATGAGAATACCAGAGTTAAAGAGGATAATGAACAAAGAAGGTGCCTGATTATTATGGCTGTCAGCACAAGGGAATTGGGTTTGTCACCGGGTTTAACCAACTGGTAAGAACTGATTACAGTCTGAATCCACCTGAAAGCACCTCTGATGTTTATGCTCCCTTCTGTCCACACATCTCAGCAGGAAAGTCAGACAAACAGGGACCTTCTTCTGAAGGGTCTTCCTTCAGCAGAGGCCCTTGCAATGCTGTCACCTGCCTCAGGTACATGGGCAGAAGGGCACTCACAGGGGGAGCAGCAAAGGAGGAGCCCCAGAGCAGGGCTGCAGCTTGCCCTGAGCAGCAGCAGCAGCAGCATCCTTCCAGCACAGTCAAGGCAGGGCTCCAGGAGGGGCAAAGGAAGAGCCCAGGCTGGGGAAGCACAGCTGCCCCACAGGCCAGCCCAGAAACATCTCCTGCCTCATCCTGCACCTTGGATCACAGGAAAAGAAGCCCTTCAGCTACAGGAAAATTCAAAGTTATCAAACAAGACCTCCAGGGACAGGCCTGTTTTCCAGGAGTATGTATCCATAGGATTGAGGTGTTGGCTTGCCCCCACATCCTGGGCTGCTGCAGAGATGAAGACGGAGGCCAGCACCACAGCCTTTGCCTTTTCTCCTTCTCTCTTTTTATTTTTGGGGTAAAAGACCAAGATCAGGAACTTCAGCTTTGTCTGACCTCCCAACACAGGAATGGGGAAGAGTGCCTCCATCAGGCCCGAGATTTGACAAAAAAGGGATAGGCTTGCAGGGGTACATTTTGCAATACCAGCAAACATAAAAATAATTTGCTTACAATTTCCCCATCTGGAAATGTTTTGCTCTCTCTTCAAACTTAGTACTAACTGTACATGCTTATTTAAATTCAACCAGTTGATTACTAATTTGATTTCAATTTGGTCAAGATATTCACAAGGACCAGGGCTTTGAAAAACTTTTGTTGGTATAATGTTATTTAGTGTGTATATTCCAAACAATAGTTTTGTTGTTGCAGAAAGACATTTTTCCTACCAAACTGGTCACGTTTCAGATCTAGTAGTGTAAATTATATTACAGAAAGCATGTTCTTGCCCATTTAGACAAGGTTTCACAATACAGTTAGACTCCTTTCCCAGTCAATAGTTGGCAAAGGATATATGCACTACTCTGCTTCCTACTAAGCAAAAGCAGCTGTTCTTGGCTATGCTCTGGCCTCCTTAACCACCACCAGCAAAACTCACTGCTGAAAAGAAGGAAATCACTGGAGAACAGCTGGAATCAAGGGGTGTGGGGAAAGGATGAGTGCTAACTTAGTTATGGACATACTCTGTTTCTGCCTTGTAAGGGAGAAATTAAGGTTTAAATAAATGTGAGTCATCTCTCACAAAATTAATTCTCAATATATTAAAATGTTACAAAAGAAATATCTCGGCCCTCCCTCACTCAGACACACACAGGCTCTCTCTACATAAATACACAGCTGAACTCCAAAAATCTGGAAACACTTCCAATAGCTTTCAGGGAATGCCACACATGGATATCCCCCTGGTAAAATGCAGCCCTTTCACTTATTGTTTCAAACTGCTCTGTTCTTAAGAAAGTGAAAAGCAAAGAACTAGATGATCACAATTTAACACCAGGACATGCCTGGAATCCCAGGTCTTCGACTGCATGAGCCATTAACCAACACATAGGACAAGGAGTTCATCCAGCAACCCTGTGACTGTGCTCAATGCACCTCTCCTTCTCCCTGGTGAAAGTATTTGGATGGAATTAAAGCAAATTCCATTTGCTGCACATGATGTATTTACCTACACAGGATAAAATAAACCATGCATTGGGTGGTTGTTTCACTAAAGTTTAAGATTAATTATTACCACCCCTTTCAGATGAACACTTAGGTTCCCAATGGTCATCAGATATATTTCAAGCAAATTAGAAATACAATGGGATTATAAATATTACCTGTTTACCTGAGGTCATACAATTACAGGGAAAGCTTTCACGATTTCTACAAATATCCATATTTTAAGAGATGAAAGGTGATGTGATCTACTGTCCAGGTGCTCAGACTGGAACTGAGGCCCGTATTTTACTTCTACCTGCGTTACTAAGGTGTGCAAGTCTCTCTTTTGTAACTGTGTCTCCTGATTTATTTATACTGCAAGCTCACAAGGGTCAGCATAACCATGCCACCATTAGGAACTGAGGGCTGAGAACTAACACTGTCACTCAGAAGTGTGAGCCAAAAAGAAAACTCCATCTGCAAAGGGCCACAGGAGCTACTGAGCACTGCTGCTAGAAGCAGAACGCCTTTTAGAGACACAGGGAAGAAATGGGTGATAAAAGGGGCAAGAGATGGTTCAAAGAGCAACTCACGAGTGCAGGGCATGGAGGCAGCATCGTTTTCCGCTCGGAAGAAGCCCCGGTCGCAGGTGCAGGACGTGGAGCCTTCCCAGATGGAGTAGCTGTGAGGGGGGCACTTGGCACAGGCCACGTCTGTCGAGAGAGCCTTGTAGTATCCGATTTTGCAGGCTAGATGGAGGAACAGGAAGGGAGAGTGTTACTGGCCTGGGCAGTGATCATAAATTGCTAGCTTACTCATTCAAAATCAAGGCAGGAGACATTTCAAAGAGATCTAATGATGTCCTCTTAGCCCCAGGTGAAGAATTAACAATCATCACACTCTTAATGAGTAGCCCTACGTCAGGGGATACTGATTTCTAATTCCAACAAGAGCCATTTTAAAAGCTGGCTTAGAGATGGTAAAAAAAAAATACTCTTCTGTTGACATTGCCAGAAAATCAGCTGCTTCTTTGTGCTTACTGTAGAGTTGCATGTGGCTTAACCCATGTCCACCTGCACCCAACACACACAGAGCATGACAAAAGGGGTGCAATTGGTTTATTCTATGACCACTTAAGGAATGGCAGCTGACAGTCAGACACTGCCAATTTTTAAGAGGGAGTGGGACAGGAACCCAACATGCCCGGAAATGGCACATCTCCCTCCTGGCAAGGCAGAACTCATTTGGCTCTGTCTCCCCAAGGGAGGAGATGAGCCATGCTGTCCCCTGCTCAAAGCTGGGGCTCAGCAGTAACTGCACCACTGCCACCCGGGCCCACGTGCAGTTGCCAAGCTCTCGGTGACATCAGCTTCATAAAAGCAGGACTTACACAAAAGGCTACTTTTACATCATTTGGAAAAAATCCATTAGCATCATTAATAACACATTTTCATGGTGGCTAACAGGTATGTCATCCTAGAAATTTCTCCCTTGGCTAGAGAAAAAAGCCCATCATCACCACTGGCTTTTAGCACTGAGAAGGAGAGAGAAAATTCCCAGGCATGCAAACCAGTGAAAAAGAAAGGCTGTTCCCAATATTTACTGTGTGACTCACTCCCACATCTTGTCGTTTATCACCTACACTACCTTTAGGGTTCCCCTGCTACACACAGGCTCCTGTTGGGAGGGCATTAGCCCCCGCACAGCCAGGGCTCGCTGTCGCTGTTTCTACCTTCCCTTAGTCCCCCCTCACTCTTTCCCTGCTTCTCTTACGAAGCCCTCCAGTGGGAAATGGGAGAGGGATATTAGTAACACGTTTATAAAAGAGCAAGTTACTTCATTGTGATTAGCCCAAACCATTTATGAAATGTCCTTAACAAGCCCTGACTTTACGAGGTGGCGCACGCCATGTGTGCGAGCGCTGGGAGATCAGCCGCTGTCACTCGCTGGGGCTGTCCCGGGACCAGAGGACCTTGTGAAAACACACGGCTCAGGTGACTGAGATTTACACTTCCAGAGCTCACAGGCATCGTGGTGTTAGATAAGGTTCGATTTGCTACGTGTGTTCTGGCCATGCTTCAAACAGCCTCGGGGTTTCAGTTAAAATCAGCAGCCACAGCTCTGGCAGGGAGAATCGCAGGGGTTAAACCCAGCCTGCCCACGTCAGAAACTATTTTGGTCCCTGAATACAAATTCGAACCCACCATGTCTGGCCCATCAGCCAGGCACCAGCAGGATGCAAAGGCAACACACCTGGAAAACAGCTTATTCTGCCTGGGATGGGAATTGCCCAGCAAAACAAACAAACAAGGAAAATAACCCTTCTTTTATATATATAACTTGCACTATCTGGTGAGCAAGTTGCTGTATCACTACATGTCCTGGGTTTAACAAGAGCAGCAGTCAGTGGCAGATACTGGTCTTGGGTATTACTCCTGGTTTTCACTGTCACAGCTCAGATAAGAAATATGCCTAAGTCTGTGTATGACCAGGACAGACACCCATGGGAAGGATCTTGCTGCCAAATATAAAGACAAGGTATTGAAAAACAGAATACAAGAGGAAACCAAGCTGACTGCTTTTATCCACAAAATTCTTTCTGTTGTTTATGGTTTTAGAAACTAAACATGTAAACTCTAATATTACTCTTAATATGAACACCACAACCCACAGAAATCATTAAACAGTGAGCCATCTTTAGCATATCTGAGGTATTAAAATACTTATCTATTCAACAATCTAGCTCAAGGCTGAAAATCCTACTTGGGCTATAACATGCTTCTAGAAGAACAAGAAAATGTCACAGGTAAAGATTTTTGTGACCATTCCTCCCTGTCTTTTCATACTCTGTGGTTTAAAAGGGAATAGATGTATTCAGTGGGTACTGCAAGGTCAACACTCTGTAACTCAAGGATTTTTTTTCCCCCTCATTTCATGCACTGTATTTTGTTTTCAACTATATTAAGCTGAGATGTTTAATATTTCAAGACCTGAAGAAAGCTCTCCAAGCACAGTGGCTGCTCCTAAAGCACACACAGCCATTTTGCTTCAAAAATCGACTACTCCTGAAGAGAGTTTTCTTCATTTTAGTGTGCTCAGAGATTCACCACATTTCCTAACAGCCACAAAAGGGCATGAGAGGATGTGCTGCATTAAACCAGGAGTTCTTTGCCCCCAAGAGCTCCATGGTACCGCCACTTAAAAACTCAAACCTAATCCTGTAAAAGCTGTTCTTAGCATGGAGTGCTGCTGACACACCTATTACAACTATGGATGGACTGTTTTTTGAAGGGTAATGATTTAGTAGGCAAACAAGAAGCCTGTACAGAACTCATTCCCTGGAAGTCTTTATTGCTTGCTCATGACAAATCTTCACGCAGCTGCTTTACTAGGAAGGATTTGCTGGGTGAGACCCAGCATGAATGGGGCTCTTACACAGTTTTCGAAAGATGCCTTTGTAAAAAGATTAGTTCACATGTGCAATGCAAACTTTGAGTTCAATTTCTTAGCTTTGCCTTAATTAGTTCTTTCTGTTAGGTTTCTTTTCTTTTTTTTTTTTTTTTAAGGAGAAAAACCTTTTCTCACATTCAGGTCACCCACAAGGGTAACATAGTTACAATCGACTGCAACACACTCAATGGAAATTCTCAAACAAAAATATTTTCAGTTCACAGTTTTTCCCCAGAACAAATCACATTGATTTAAATGGACATCAGCTTGAAATAATCATGCTGATGTCTTTGATTTATATTATTAAAATCCATTTGATTTCTACTTCCCTTGAAGCAAGATAAGATCTGACAAACATTGCTGGTCATTATTACATGCCTTTTTCCTTCTTTTTTCCAAATATATCAGAGTGATACATGTCAAAACTGCAAAAATGGCTCTGAAGAATTATGGAACTTCAGTCAAATCTAGATGTAAATTTTCTCAAGCTGTTTTTCCAACTCCATTTTCACATGATTTTCAGACTTAAAGTTTCCTCAAAAAAAGAGAAAGAATACTTGTGTGGGCTGAAAAGTCTGCTTGCTTAGTCTCTCCAAATGCTGAATTTTCTACTAGAAAATTTCAGACAGCAATTTTAGAATTTAAAAACCTCATCTCATAGTGGATAGGGCTCTAATCACATTCTTTCTAAACACTGCTATAACAAATACATTTATTAAATTGGTTTTAACTATTTTTAAATAAGATATGTTGTTGGGGTTTTTTATTTGGGGGTGGGAGAAATATTTAAGAAAATTATTTTTTTCAAATTTAGAGTTGTTTAAAAAAAATTCCCCAGTACTTGCTCTTAAATTGTTCCTTTATCCTTGTGAAGTGGCAATTATTCCTTCAATCTGAGTTTGGAAAAGGCTTGACATACCTAAATAGTTCTTTAAAAAAGATAAAAAATTGTGTAATGTCCGCAAAGGGTTGGATGAAGAAATCATCCCAGCCTCTTTGCTGACGAGTTCCTAAACCATTAAAAACGCAGTGCCTATCTGAAAGACATCTCAGGGAGCTCCAGGCTGTGGCAGTGCCTGGAGGCTGAGCAGGACTGAGGCAGGGATGGGAGCCAGCCCTGAGCCCGGCTGGGATCTGAGCAGTGATGGGATGGGATGGCCCAAGAGAGCTGGAAACTGCTGGGCAGGAGCTCTGGAACCAGCCCTGGACACCAGGGACCAAGGCCAGGAGAAATCCTGCCTGGAGCCTCAGCCTCTGCTGAAGAGGAGGACTTCCTGAAATAAATACTGATTTCTGATTAGGACCTAATAAAGCAAACAGGGAGAAAAACAAGCACAGAAACATGGTTTTGCTCAGGTAAATCTGGTTAAGTCAACAAACTGATATTAGAAGCAAACAGAGATGCTCTGAAGTGCTCATTCACAAAAGCCCAGTGGGATGCAGTCCTGCACAGCCATGGCCATGAGATAGGTCCCTGTGCCAAAGGCTGAGCTCTCCACACAAGCACCACAAGGAAAAGGCCCCCAGGTGGACAGGACCACAACCAAACCATGCTCCTGCTGCACCCTCCTGCCCAAAAGGAACCCTCTGCACCCCCAAGAACATTCACTATCACAGGCAAGCCAGCAATGCCACTACAACCAGTGCAATCAGCTCAACTGTCAGAAGCTATGCATTCCAGTTTCCATTTCTTGAAGCAGAAAAATATGTTAGCTACATACTCAAGAAAACTTCAAAATTCCTTGAGAAGAAATTTTGAATCAAATTTCTCTCCACATACAATAGAAGAGAAAAAATTACTTTTAAGTCAATGATTGTAGCCAGCTTTAAAGAAAGACTCCAAAATAGTACTCTTGGTGAAATGAAGGACAAGGTAAATAATTTAATAAGATATATTTCAATGTCATGTTTATACATTACAGTGAGAAAAGAATATTTTGTTTAAAGACTAGAAAAAATACTTTGATAGTACATTTGATGTGTTTCATCACTGGTTACTTTTTCCACAGCTCTTCTCTCTGGAAATATTTTGAGCTCATGTTTTATCTGCACCCTTAGGAACAAAAAGTTACTTTTAATTTTCCCCTTGAATGTTGTTCTTAATCTTTAAGAGGATGGATCTTCTCTCTCGATTCGTAACAAAACTACATCTGCCACATAAGAAGGCAGCATCTTCTCAGCTTACTTTTACTGTTATTACCATTTCTGAACAGATTTTTGTGTGTTAATTATAGAACTCAATTGTTTGGATAGTCTCTTTTGATGAGCTTTCTGCCCTGCACCATGAACCCTTCCGTTA